CACATCCACAAAATTATTAACTTTATTCTGGGGGAGAGAAATGAAAGTTTATATAAATTCATTTCACATTTTAAGAGGTCTGCAGTATTGCAAAGTTGTGACTGAGAGGTTATGTTGGGGGAGGGGGGCGATGACAACTTCCTCATTGGCTCAAGGGGGCGATTCGTTCAAAAAGGTTAAGAACCACTGGACTAGATGACCTCCAAGGTCCCTTCCAACTTTATTATTATTATTATTATTATTATTATTATTATTATTATTATTATTATTATTATTATTATTATTATTATTATTACTATTATTACTATTACTATTATTATTATTATTAAAAAACCAGCAGAGAAAAGCAGCAGCACAAGAGTTAGGAGAGAAACAGAGAGATGTGGGTCTACCCAACAGCTTTGGATGTTTTACAGAGAGAGATCAGGAAGCCAAAGGAATAAACCACCTTCATTTATATTTGGGCATAGCGCCACCTTCTGGGACACAGGAGTCAAAACCTTCTTTATGGGGGGAAAAAAACGGAAGGCCAGCTGTACACTAGTGGCCAAAATTGTGGAAACCTTTTGGGAAAAGTGTACGACAGGTCTCAAAAAATAGGGGTTCTTTCCTGAGGGGAATCATCCACCTAGCAATAGCAATAGCCCTTATATAATAATAATAATAATAATAATAATAATAATAATAATAATAATAATAATAATAATAATAATAATAATAATAATAATATCATCTGTGCGATGATCCATAATAATAATAAAGTTGGAAGGGACCTTGGAGGTCATCTAGTCCAACCCCCTTCTCAGGAAGGAAACCCTATACCATTTCAGACAAATGGCTGTCCAGTCTCTTCTTAAAGACTTCCAGTGTGGGAGCATTCACAACGTCTGGAGGCAGGTTGTTCCACCGGTTAATTGTTCTCACTGTCAGGAAATTCCTCCTTAGTTCTAGGTTGCTTCTCTCCTTGATGAGTTTCCATCCGTTGCTTCTCGTCCTGCCTTCAGGCGCTTTGGAGAATAGCTTGACTCCCTCTTCTTTGGGGCAGCCCCTGAGATACTGGAAGACTGCTATCGTGTCCCCCCTCGTCCTTTTCTTCGTCAAACTAGACAGACCCAATTCCAGCAACCGTTCCTTATATGCTTTAGCCTCCAGTCCCCTGATCATCTTTGTTGCTCTTCTCTGCACTCTTTCCAGAGTCTCACAGTGCTTTGCAGCCCTAAGTGGTTTACAAATCCGGGTCCTCATTTCACCGACCTCAGAAGGAGGGAAGGCTGAGTCAACCTTGAGCTGGTCAGGATTGAACTGCTGGCAGACAGCAGAATTAGCCTGCAATGTTGCATTCTAATCATTGAGCCACCACAGAAGGAAGGAAGGAAGGAAGGAGGAAAGGAAGGAAGGAAGGAAGGAAGGAAGGAAGGAAGGAAGGAAGGAAGGAAGGAA